GTTTCTGCTGAGAAATCTGAGGTTATGCTTATTGCTGACCCTTTGATGTAAATGATCTTTTTTTCTCTGGCTGCTCTTAGGATTTTTTCCTTGTCATTGATATTCGACATCTTGACTACAGTATGCTGGGAGTATTCCTTTGGGATCTCTCCTGGCTGGGATTCTTTCAGCTTCCTGAATAATTATCTCTTCCTCCTTTAGACGTTTGAGAAAAGTTTTCTTGCAGGAGCTCTTGGATTCTTCATTGTGTAGATTTGTTTTGCTTCTTCCTCTTCTGGGATCCCTATAATAAACAGGTTGTTCCTCTTGATTGTGTCCCACATTGTTCTCAAGCTTTTCTCAGTCTCTCTTGCATTCTTTGTTAATCTTCTTTTAGGCTAGAGTGTATAGATTTGTCTTATAGCTCGCAAATTTGTCCATCTCTTCTATTCTGTTTCTGTTATTTTATAGCCTCGTGCTGTTCCTTTATAGTATTGCATAATGCTGCTGCTGTGGTGTTTGGGTTTGTGTTTCTGTGTGGAGTTTGTAGTGAGGTTACTAGCTTTTCTAATGTCTCACGTTTTCTCTCAGACTTTCCTTCAGATGTCTCATGAGTGTGATTGCCGTGCTTTTACATTCTTTTTCTGGCAAATCCATAGCCTGTTCAGTTTCAGGCATTACATTTAGGTCTGGTTGGTACTCGGCTGTTTCTGTTTCTCTTGTCTTTTTGTGTGCAGTGATACCTTCTGTTGTTCCCTTGACATCTTGGGGTTGCTATTAGGGGTGTTAGGGAGGTGGTGTTATGTTGGAGTAGTTAACTCTGTTAGGTGGTGCAGTAGAGGGTGGTGGACAGTTTGTATTAAGTATCTGGTGGGTGGGTGGGGGTGTATTAGATTATGTGTGAGAGCTACGACCAGAGAGTGGGAGAGGAAATGTTAGCTGTGGGAGACAGGAAGGAGCAACAGGCAAAAGAAGAGGAGCCAAAAAAAGGGGTGATCAAGCAGTGCTATTTGGTAGCTAAAAGAAGGGAAGTTAGATTAAAAAAAAACGCCTGTTTGCAACGATGGAGGAAGGCGTACTATTAATTGATAGAAAAAGTATTTTTTAAAATGTAAGAATAGTGTCAGCTAGTTTTATGAGGATGAGAAGGAAAGAAAAGGTTGGACAAGGAGAAAAGAGAAACAAAAAGATAGGGTATGGAATAAACTTTAACTATTTAGAGAGGGAGCAATTGAAGGAAAGGGCTAGAGGCAAAAGTTTTAAAAATAACACTGGAGTAAGCTGCAAGACAGCTGTTAACGGATGTCTGTTTGGGCTCTAAGCTGTGCCCAGGAACTTTGTCTTTGTTGCGGGTGCTAACTTCTGGATTGATGGTGTGTTTAGGGACTAGAAAATAAACAATAAAATTAAGAGTAAAACAGTAAAGTAGTTTCTATCTATTTCCCCCTGTTCTTTCGTATACCTTCAAATGGGGAAGTCCCAACTGAGTATGTACTATAAGAATAGTTCTCAACTTTTTTTTAAAGATGGGGAGGGTATAGGAGTGATGGAACACAGCAGCAAGAGAGCCAGCAAGAACAACAGCTGTGTCCCACTCTGTCCATGGAGGGAGCCAGGACTGTGTGTAGCAGAGGTTTTTTAAGCAGCTGGGGCCGGTGTCTGGTACTATGACATGATCTGGTAGGGTAGGTCGTGATCTGGTAGGGTGTTGGAGTGGTGTTGAGATTATGGCTCGGGGAATTATTTTGGTGTTTGGTATGGCTGTGGGTCTTCCACCCTTATGGTTTAAGTTAGTTATCTTGAGAGAATAGGCCTCTGGTGAATCAGGGCAGAGGGAGTGGGATTTGCTTTTTCCGATGGTGACCCACTTGGGGTGGGGTAACGGGGTGTATCCTTCCCACCTAGCTAGGTGGCAGAATTAAGCAATACCCTGCTGAGAGGACTTGTGGCTTATGTGCTTAGCTTTACAAATTGGGCTGGAGCCCCCTGGCTTGTGTCTATTTACTATTTACACCCGTTCTTCCGGATGATGGTGGTGACCAAGTGGGGATGGAGGTATGGTGTTTATACCTGCCTCCCACCTAGAAGGTTGGGGGGGAGGAAAAAAGCCTACTTAAAGGGCAGTTTGCTGCGGCCATTTCTAAGTGTACTGTTAGGTTAATTATCTGCCAAATGGACCATATGTGTGCTGGGTGCTGCCCAGATAAGTTTGAAAAGATGATTTCTTAAAATGCCTTCGAATATCCGTGTGTTTTTAAGCATTCTGGGCCCTTTTGCATGTCTTTTAAGAAAATCCTTATATATTTTCATATGTCCACATCTATATTTATACCTATGTATAATTTTTACTTTCTTCTTTCATTTTTCTTTCCTCCTGCCCCACTCTCATGTTTACCCATCATTCAACTCTCAGTAATTCCTCTCGGATACATTTCAATTGATCAAACAAGACCAGGAAGGAGGCAGGGGGAGGTGAGCGGTGGGCCAATGACAACAGGGACAGGGGAATAGCAAGGGTTCTAAAGCTGATGGTGGAGGGTGTAGCGTTCCTTTTGGGTGTCTTGAGATGGGGGCTATGCCAAGCTATTCCCCAGGAAAGGGGGATTAGTTTGGCCGAGTGGAGCGGGTATTCCTGGGCTTGTGTTCACTGCTTATGTCTGTTCTAGGCTTCCTCATAGATATATCCCCAGACAGCTTGGTAGGCTGGGTCAGACCCGGGACTTCTGATCTCTCCCCTGACCAAACCAGACACCTCACTCCTGGCCACTGCTGTGGCTGTGCTCAGCCACATTTATTCAGCCCCGACCCCAAAGACTTCCTGGTGAAGCTCGTTCAGAAAAAAGGGGCTGAGTGGTGTGACTCTTGGTCCCCAGGAGCAGAGCCCCTGCTGCCCACACAGGATGCATCCTCTCAGGTGAAGCGTGAAGAAGCCCTGGGTGTCCGGGGCCACCGAGGTGTGGAGGAGAGGGAGCTCCCCACAGAGCCCATCACCGGTGAGTGAGGCCACTCGTGCCTTCCTGGGTACCCAGGCTGGGGTGTCAATGGACGGCCGTGGATGGAGACCAGAATCTTCCACGGGACAGATGGGCACACAGCACTGATGGTTTGCCCTGAAAGAGGCTTGGCTTGTGCTGGCTTCTCTCAGTATCATGCGCTTTTAACTATTTAAATGTTTAAAGCAACTGCTCTCGAGGTGTAACAATCCGAGGGTTGTGGAAGCAGGGCCGTGAGAGAGAGCCATGCAGAGTTTCTTGTAGCACTTTCCACGGCAGCCCGGAGCTGGGGACCTCCCAAGTGTCCACTGACAGAGGAATGGAGAGCAAAATGTGGCCCATCTAGTCCACAGGTTCCCAAACTTACTGTCCCTAAACAGGACAATGCAGTGCCTCCTGACAATGAACAGCGCTGTACTAGAGGCCATCCATCCTCCAGGGTGAAGTGCAGGTGTGTTAGGCTGGAACAGGGCCCACAGGATCTCACATGGAGGGGCCAATCCTGTCCCTTACAACCATTTAAAAATTATTTGAGAGCCATGAATGTTTTTTGTAAATGAATGAAGTCACCATTATCTGAATAACATTTTTATTTTCCTTCTCAATTTTACTTCAGAACTACATGTGCATACTGAAAGTGCTGCCTATGGCTTGCAAGTTGCAGTTTGCTGACCCCTGATCTAGACCATAGCTTCCCAAATTTATTTGGCCTACTACCCTTTGGGGAGGGAGAAAGAGACAGTGGGTCCCTGGCAATTAAGAAGTTTGTACCACCATTCAAGATAAAGTGTGGGTGTGTTCGGCTGCACTGTGTAGGGAAACACTTGCATGTGTTGTACATAGCAAGAGATATCAGCAAGTGGCTGACACCGCTGTAGAAATAGGTAAGTCCAGTCTGGTTCAAGTCAGGCTTCTCCTGATTCGTGGAAGCTGATGAAAAGGAAGCAGGATGGCAAAGCAGAGACAGTAGGGTGCACAGGCGGGTGGATGCAGAGGTGGATGTGAAGTTGGCTAAACGGATCCACCTTCAGTAGCCTACTGATAGCAACAGGAGATCAGGGAACCAGATGCAAGGTTTAACTCTACCGGAAGGCAAGGAGCCAAAAAAGATTTGACTCAGCTTGATCTCCTATACCAAAAGGCTTAGTCATCATGCTGCCCCTTCCGCCACGACCCTTCCCCAGGAATGTCCAGTAGACACAATCCCCAACCATTTCAGTAGGTGTCTGCTTTTTAAAAATCATTTTATTGGGGGCTCATACAACTCTTGTCACAATCCATACATACGTCAATGTGTAAAGCACACTTGTACATTCGTTGGCCTCATCATTCTCAAAACATTTGCTTTCCACTTGGGCTCTTGGACTCAGCTCCTCATTTGTCATTTTTTTCCCCTCCATGAACCCTTGATAATTTATAAATTATTATTTTATCATACCTTACACTGCCTGATGTCTCCCCTCACCCACTTTTCTGTTGTCCATCCCCCAGGGAGGAGTAATCGATTCCCCCTTTCTACCTCACCCTCCCTCCACCCTCCCGGTATCGCCACTCTCAGGTGTCTGCTTTTGCAACCCACTGGATCATTCCAGCACCTCAGGGGGTAATATTGCCCGCTTTGGGGAACAGTGCTCCATAGTGTGTAACCTACAACCACAGCCTCCTGCCTCCGACATTAGCCTGGCATGGTAATCTCTGCACCACCCAGCAACTCCATTTGCAGCAAAAGCACAATTAACTAGAACCAAGCTGCCCCAAACTCTTAATTAGGACAAATTAACTATGCCTCACTTTTAGGAGTCCTGGTAGTGTAGTGGGGTATGCATTGGGCTGGTAACCCTAAGGTCTGCAGTTCAAAACCACAAGTTGGAAACAGGCCTACCCTGCCCTTTGGGGTCGCTATGAGTCAGAATCAACTGGATGGCAGTGAGTGAGTGATTTTTAGGGGAAAGAACTAATTGCATGAAATCGAGATTTATTCAAAACATCAGTTCAATGCACTTTCCCTAAGGCCTCTGCTGCACTGTCTCTGCGCAGACTCCCCGATCTCCGCCCAGGAACTGCTGTCCCGGATCAAGCAGGAAGAACACCAGTGTGTGTGGGACCAGCAGGATTTGGTGGAGAGAGATATCCCGACAGACCCCAACTCGGGTGAGAGAGCCAGCCCCGAGCTGACTCCGCTGCTGGAAACCCACCAGGTCAAATTGTTGTGCGTTAAAGGCCAAGAGGGGCTCATGAACCAAAGTGTGGCAGGCCCTCAGCTGGAGAAGGTAGATTTTGGCATTTGTTGACTAGTGAAATGGAGAGGGCCTTTCAAAGGGATCGTTAGATGTGGTGGTGGTGGGGTGCTAGCCCCCTACCACTAATCACGGGTTCGATAGGCACAATTGTACGGTTGAGATAAATATTAAAGTCATCAAGAGCATGAGATATAGAAGAGAGAGAGAAATAATAGAGTCAAGACACATTTCATGGTAGCAATGCTCACCTCAGTCCCGCTTGGTGGTCCAGGTAGAGAGAGGGGGAGGGGAAGGAGGACAAGGGGAAAGGGAACAGGAGTGAGGACAGGAGATGAGAGGTCAAGGGAAGAGCCCAGAGAAAGGCCTTTATTGCTAACCCAGGTCTATATATGATTTGTGGGGAGTACAAGCCCACTAATTACAGGTAAAGACATACGTCACAGGAAGGGGTTGCACTGTAGGTTATACAGCAATGAGAGGGTAACAATCTAGGGATAGACACACAACAGGAAGAGGAGAGATTGGGGTACACATGTGACAAGATTGGTGGAGCCTAGATTCAGGATGGCGGCTTAATTTTGGATTTTAAGGAGCCAGTTTGATCTGGTCTCTGGATCTCCATAGGAACCATTATCAGTAGGGTGTAGGCCCCAAGCTAATGGTAGCAAGCCTCAGAGAGAAGTAGTCCATTGTCCCCAGCAGCAGGGAGCAGCCCCCACCCCCCCTTCTGGGTTGAGGCAGCAGTCTGGCAGCTGATTGCCTCAAGGGGGGAAGTAACTTTTACCATTAGCTGCAAGCAGTGTCCTAAGTCTAACATAAATTTTGGGGGAGACGAGTTGGGAGAAATCTTTCTGTTTCCCACAGTTAGATTATTTACTGTGTCAGGGTCACAATTACTCAGATTACTCCAGCACGGAGTTGTGGATAAAAACAGCAACTCAAGAAGCTTCTCGAAGTTGTGTATGTCTGTGTCAAAGAGAAAGGAACATGGGCTGGAGTTTCTCCTGAGTGAATACTAGGTAAATGGGGAGGGTCCAGGGTGTTGGGGTGCTAATCAATAGGAGCCCAGCCCCAGAGCCTGTGCGTGCACAGGTGAGGACAGTGCGTGGCAGGATGAAGTTTGGACTCCCAGTAAGTCGTCAACTTTGTGACAGACCTTTCAGTGAGGAAGCCGAGCGGACCTCGGGC